GGTTATTCACTAAAATGAGAATTCAAAGTGAATTCAATTCAAAGTAAATTTCAAATTTCAGATCAGAGTAGCTTAAATAAAAGCATAGCTGAATTTGAGAATCTTATAGTTTGGCTATTTTGACCTTAAATTTGAGATTCACTGAGAGACCAGTGTGAGCTGACACCAAGTTATGTGTCCTTTCCCCCCCTCTCGTGACTTTGTAACACTATACAGTAATATGAGGTTAGTGATTGGATGTTGGGGCGGTGTCAAGTCAGCAGCTCAGCTAATACTGATTTCTCATTGGCTGAGTATGTGAGTGCATATCCAGAGTACATCTAATAAGGAAGTTGCTTTGTGAAACTGGGGGCATGGCTAAGTAGGTTGTAAAAAAGGGAGGTATGAGTGGGTTATGTTGCAGAGAGCTGCAAAACTTTTTTCTTTTTTTAATCAAATCTGAAATAACATATCAGTGCAGTTCATGTAGATGCTGAAGTCACTGACACAGACAGCACAGAAAGCACCTCAAGTGACCGTTGAAGTGACTGTCCCTACTGATGGTATTACTAGGCAGTAATGTAAAAACTGCCTTTTCTCTAACAACATTTTTTGGGTGGTCAGAAATTCGTTCATATGGAAATCTGCACCAATTTTGTCCATGCAATGAATTCATAAAAAAACTATTTTGATTAACCACAAGGGTGCCAAAAATATGCCATTCAGTGTGCTGCAAAAATAAATATTACACATATATTTTGCAGCACACTGTTGGATATTCCCATACTTTGGTTTACAGATAATGTGAGGAAAAAGTAACCAATCGAGGAAAAAAGAGGAGGGAGCTCCTCTTTTTTTCCTATATTGGTCACTTCTCGATTTACCTGTGAAAAAAAATCTACATTTAGTGGCTGTCCCCTAACCATAAATTGTCTTTTTTCACATCAATTATCTTTTTTTTTTTGGTATCATGGATTAAACCTTATAGTATAAAAAACACTGTCTATTTTGTTTGCGTCATGATTCGTCCGTATGCTGTTTCAGAGTTGCCGACTTCGGATGACCCGCCAATCACTCCAAATTCAGATGTATTGGAATTTGTTTGAAACTGAATGGAAAAGACTACTGAAAACTAATATTACCATTCTGGGTAAGTTATGAAATTCAGGGGAACATCGAGAGCTTCAAGAATCACCCCATGCTTGTTTTATAAAAAGGAAAGTGCATATCAGGTAGACTTGCGCATGGAAAAACATTTTTTGTCACAGCACTGTACAATGCGTGGACTAACAGACACGTATTTGTAACCAGACGAGTTGGACGCACAAGAACAGAGTGGTTGAGGGGCCTGCTCAATAAGCTTACATGCTAAAGGGAGTGGGATATAGTGACACAAAAGGTAAGGGTAGGGTATAAACGTAGGATCGTTAGGATAGTATTCATTGAGGGCTTAGTGTTTTGTTTTGATGACAGTTGCATGAGAGGAATCAGGGTGTGAGGAGGGAAAGCTGTTGCCGGTAAATTTATATGCTTTCCTGAAGAAGTATGTTTTCAATGATTATTTGAAGGAGTGGAGACTGGGTGAAAGTCTAACAGAGAGGGGAAGGGCGTTCCATAGGAATGATGCAGCCCTAGAGAAGTCTTTAAGGCGAACATCAGAGATAGGAGTACGAACAAAGGTTAGACGTAGGTCTCCAGCCGAGAGTAGAGGCCTAGACAGGACATATTTGTGTATTAGTGAGGATAGGCAGGTTGGAGCAGCATTGTGTAGCGATTTGTAAGCAAGTACCAGGGTCTGAAATTGAGCCCTATATTTTATGGGACGCCAATGAGGGGTTATATCATTAGGCACCATAGGCACTAGCCATTTTTTAAAGAGGTGTTATGTTGCAGGTGCCTGCTCTGCTGATTTAAATGTGTTGCGGACAGGAAGCAAGTATCACTTTGACCACTGGCTGCACGTACCCTGTACTGATGTTGTGAGACCCCCAGCATCAGTACAGAGCTGACGGTTCTTGGGTGTGAGAATGTATGTATGTGTGTGAGAATGTATGTATGTGTGAGAATGTATGTATGTGTGTGAGAATGTATGTATGTATGTGAGAATGTATGTGTGTGAGAATGTATGTATGTGTGTGTGAGAATGTATGTATGTGTGTGTGTGAGAATGTATGTATGTATGTGAGAATGTATGTATGTGTGTGTGAGAATGTATGTATGTATGTGAGAATGTATGTATGTGTGTGTGAGAATGTACGTATGTATGTGAGAATGTATGTGTGTGTGAAAATGTATGTATGTGTGTGTGAGAATGTATGTATGTTTTAATCGATTTAATCGATTATGATTCTGAGGAAAGTCCAGAGTAGGGACTGAAACGTCAATCTCGTTTTTAATCATTATTAAATAAAGAATGCAGTTTTAACAGACCTTGAGTGCAAGCCATCTTTCAACTTTTCTATGTCTACAAGCCCTGGCTTTGCAGCACCTGGCAACCTTATTTCCATTTAGCGTGAGTGCATTGACCTGTTGGAATCCAATTATCTATATACATGTATATATAAATATATATATATATATATATGTATGTGTGTGTGCATAAATGAATGTGTGCATATGTGTGTGTTTTTGTGGGGTATTTCAGTTTATGTGTGTGGCTTTTGGGGGATATATGAATACACTTGTATGTGACTATGTGTATGTATATGAATGGGTATGTTTGCGTATTAATATATATATATATATATGCACATATATATAAATATATATATACATATATGCATATATATATATATATATATATATATATATATATACTAGTGTTAGGGGCATTAAGCCGTATATGGAGTAAGAGACAAGTATAGGAGTAGATTAGTATAAAAGAGCAAGTCGTTTGTGGTGTTCCGGAACCAACAATGCGGTGGGCCTGTAAATAAAAGAGGGCCCACCCAGGAGTAAAGAAAGGAGAATGTGTGTATGTAAACGAATGTGAATGTACAAATGATCTATTGCATGCCTTACACACAAACGGGGGATGGGGCAGAGTGACATGCAAAATAATTTACAGCCATCATAGAACAATGCTCCTGGTGCCAAGTAAACTAAGTACGCCTCTAGTACAGGGGGCTCTACCATGAAAGGTAAAAATTAGTAAAAACATTTTAAGGATAGCACATAGGGTTAATGGGGTTAGTGGGGAGGAACAAAGTCAGTGGACAGGTGGAAAAGGATGCTGAGATGGAGGTTGTGGTCTGTCGAGTCAGTAGGGGGTTAAAAAGATTATCAGAATTTGTGAGATTTAAATGAGGGTTTAATATGGTTAGTGGCGATGAATGAGGGTTCTCGGACACCTCGTGAGAATAAGAGGTGTATGGGATGAGATTAATATGTTTAGTGGGGTTGACTGCTTAGTAGAAGGGGCAGTAAACATCACGAATTAAGCCATTCTGCTTTTTTGTAGAATTACAACTCCCTTGATTCTCAGCCTGCCCTGGTAGCTCATGGTCCTAGGAGCTGCAGTTCTGCCACAGCAGAGAAAAGGCAGATACATTGCAGTTGCAGAGCTCTAACTGCCTTGATGCTTAGCCAGCCTTACAGGCAAGGTGGCTTAGAGTGAAAGGACATTACTGTAGCCGTCTCCCTCCTTTAATATTGTTGGGTTGACTATTGCCAAGCTCCTCCCATTCACCTATATTCCTCCATCAAGCAGCCCAGGGGATTGCATTGTGGAAGGCGATTGGCTGCCACTGTTAAAGGTACATTAAACCGCTAATTACAAGGAAAGAGTCCAAAGTACTGATTGCATGGGCGAATTTTGTCTAGCAGGCAATAGTTTTTTTGTGCATTACATGTAAAGATCATCTGTTCATTTGTGTTCTGGACGAATGAATGACTCAAAATTCGTCCAGATTTACATTTGTCTAAATGCCCAGGTCTACATATTAGCATATATTATTTTTTATAAATTTACTCTCTGGTTAAATCGTCTGTGATTCTTAACCCATTAAGGACTAGGCATTAGACAAATTTCTTTATTTTATAGCATTCGTGTCAGATCATTAGCACTCGAGGGGTTACAAAAACAAATTCATCATTTGTTTTTGTAACCCCTCGAGTGCTAATGATGAAAAAGACTGTGTGCGAAATGCGCGATAAAAAAAAAAAAAAAATACAAAATTCTCGCTGAAATATTCAGATTTGCCATTTAAGCAGTCAGCTTAAACATATGTTCCCCCAGTGCAGCTGACAGCAATTTGAAAGCTAAGCATACCAAAACACATACGCAAATAAAAGAAAAAACAAACTCTGTATACTGTGTGACTGACAAAGAAAAAAAAAAACATTAAAAAAAGGCAAATCAGCATCATTCATGGATGAAATAGGAACACATCAAAATGCTTTTTTGGAAAATGGAAAGTGAAACCTTTAATGTAAACAGTGGGGAAGTGCACACATGGTTTTAGGAAGCAATGCTGATGATTTCAAAGAACTCCTCCTCCTGGCTGCCTGTCTGTATGTGTGTGTGTGTTAGTGTGTGTGTTAGTGTGTGTCACTGCCTCTCTGTCTGTAGCAGCAGTTTCATCTGCAGAATCCCTATACTCCACACAGGAGGTTTGGTCTTTTCAAACCATTCAGCAATAGCATCTCATCCTCCTCCTCCTCCTCCGAGCAGAAACGCCAGTACTTGGCTTCAGCATCATTCATCTCCCTTGAAAACCAACATCTTAAATATATACATTTTTTTTCTTGCATTTTTTTTATTCTTATTCTTATTGTGCATGATTTTTTTTTTTTAAGGCTTGTTGGAAATTGGCTAACCTAAATCACCCATCCCCTCAGCTGCATTTTTTCTTCAATTTCCCCATCACCACCAACAACACCTCAAGTCTACTGGGTCCTGCAAAGCAAAAGAGAGAGAGGAGAAAAAAACAAAAAACAAACAAACAAAAAAAAAAACAACCAAAAAAACCTCCGCCCCATCAACCTCTTGTTGCTGCGCCAAGATATAACCTTCTACAGCTCCCCTTTCAAAAAAAAAAAAAAAAATCTCCTCCACGTTCTATTGGAATTCTAAAAGGAACCCCGGCAAGGGGGGGTGGGGAGAAGGGGCAATAAACTGAAAGCATTAAAAAACAGGAATCCAGTCAGCAGAGACAGTTTTACCATGAGATTGCAATACACCTCTTCTTCTCCGTCTTCCTCCTCAACCTCTCTGGCTGCTGGTCTGTCTCCCTGCTTGCTGCCTGGTCCAGGCTCTGCTCTCACAGGTAGTGGCTGCTCCTGCTGCTGGGGTTGTTGTTATGGTGCCCTGTTGTTTTTCCTGTGGACCTCGGCTGCGGTGACTGCCTCCTCTTCTTCTTCCTCGTCTTCTTCTGCTGGAGGTCCAGGAGCAGGTGGTGGTGGTGGTGCTGCTGCAGTGACCGGCGCTCCTGGTGGCTCTGGTGGGGGCTCTGGTGCTGCAGCGGCTACAGCAGCTTCTCCTTCTCCCCCAGCTCCTCCTCTCCCTGCTGCAGTGGTGGCTGGAGGGGCGCTGCTGGCTGCTCTGGCGGCAGGTGCCGGTGGTGGAGTTGGAGTGGTCCCTTCTGGTGCAGCCGGTGGACCTGTCTGTTATTTCTCCCCTACTGTGGGCTCGGTGCAAGAGCTGGCTCAACGCTCCAGGGTGGTGATTGAGGGCAAAGTGCAGCAGCAACAGCATCATCAACAAGGTGGGTCTGGGGCAGAGGGTGGCAGGAGGAAATTGGCAGAGGAAGGAGAGAGAGGTGGGGACCTTGTTACCTCTGGCAGGAGAAAAGGACAGGTGGTCAGAGATCAGGTGTATGGAGAGGAAGACAGGGAGCAGACAGTGCCAGGGGTGAGCATTGCACCCAGAGAAGACCCTGTGACTGTTACCCAGTGGATAGCACCTTCTTCATCCATTCTTACCACCACAGCTTCCACCATCATCATTAGTGGCTTCTCAGACTTGGTCCCTCTGCCCAGTGCAGCTGCATCTCCTGCCCCTGCCGGCAGCAGCCTAGAGTCTTACCTGGTGAAGGTCCATCAGGTGTGGGCAGTGAAAAGTGGTGGTTTGGAGAAGGACTCAGTTATTACACTGCTGGGGGATTTCGGATCCAGCTGTGTCAAGTTGAAGCAAGACAGCAGGTACCTCTTCTTCATGGACCCAACCAACACCACTTCTGTCTTCAGGGCTTCTTTCCCACCCCTGGAGTCTGGCAGGAAGCTGAAGAAGGATGTTGGCAAGGTGCTCTGCAGGGGATGTGGTAAGTTACCCTGTCTGGTTTCTTACAAATAGAATGCTTGTTGGGAAACACAATATTCCTTATGGAATGTTGACTAAGTGGTGGCTTGTTTGGACCTCACATTCAATTGATTGTTACATTTCAAAATGCTGCATTGACAGGGAACTTCACTGATAAGTTTTTGCTTGTTCTCTTTGGACAGTGTCATTTAAACATGTTGATATGACTTCTCAATTATTGTTACTTGAATGGTAGCCTCTACATTTGTTAACTCTTGCCCTATCAGTGTGGGCAATGGTGGTAATTTTTTCTGTGAGTGTTTTTAGAAATCTAAGGAGTTCTAGAAGCATGCATTGTGATATGTTAGAGGTTTTGGGATATATTTGTGATTTAACGGAGGATCCCATTGAAGAGATGACATACAGGACTTAGTTCCTATGATATTTGCAGGAAATGTTATGATGTATTTTTATATATTTATTTAATATTACGCTATACTGCATGTATATCAAAAATGCAGTTAGGCCCTGATTATTATGGCATCACAAATAGTTTAAAAGTAACCAAAAAAAGCAGATTCATTGTAATGGTTACCATATTGTTAGAATTTTATAATAATATAATAATTCGTAATGCTAAAAAAAAGAGTGATAATGGAAACTTTGCAAATCAATGTCCCCTACTGTGTAGTTACTGCCTGGAAAATCATTAATAGTTTATTATTTATTATTCTCCGTGGCTTTAAAATAAAATATGTATATGGCTATAGTGTAAGATCATGTGTTTAGGAACATGACAATTGCTATAAGTAAATACAAGTGTGTATGGTGTTATTTTTTGTAAATACTTTGCACAACCATCACCACCATGTCTACTTTGATTACTGACTGGTGCGACGTTTGCATGCGTGGAACATTTTTCAATCTGTTTATCCAAATTGCAGCCAGCACCGCGAAATCTGTTGCATTCTGAATTCTATTTTGTCTGGCTGATTTTATGTGTTATGTAGCTAATGAAATGAGCAAAGTGTTTTCAAGCAAAATATTTGATAAATAAATAAATATATCTGTTTCATACATGCAGCTTGGAATGTACCAATTCCCAGTAGACAAAACAGACAGCAAAGGAGAGTACACATAAATATGTACATTCAATATGATCCATTAGATATCTGTGTGCACCAAATTCAGATTCTGCATTCTTGCACCAGATTCAAGATTGTCCAATAGGCTGCTGGGAGCTGTTCAGCTAGTGAGGTGCTGAAGTGTCAGAATGAGTTGGGAATTCCCAGTTCTACTTGATAGATGTCAGTGTAAAACATGGAGAATACCCCTTCTGGGATATGTCTTAATAGCTAATATAAAACTGACGTTGCTATAGAGCGTACCACTTTTATTTATTACATAGATGAATATACATTATGGTTTATTTTCCTTTTTTTAATCTTTAGAAAACGTAAATGGGAATTCCTTGCTTTGTAGCCGTGTGGCAGACAGCAATCATCATTGTTGGAACTCATGCAGCAATTTAACCTTCTGTGTAACAGAAGAATGTGAAATAAATTGCTAATTATTCTGGCGCTTCAGTGAAATATGTATTCTAGATTCCCATCAATGTGTAAATTCAGGGCTTGGCTTTATATCTGTTGTGTTAACAGTATAATGCAGCATACAGGTTTAACTACTAACATGTTTTGTGTTTATTTATTTTTTTGTGTTTTGTGATTCTGACGATTGCTATGTTGATTTCCAGTTAACCTCTACAAATTTATGGGGGGGGGGGGTTCAAAGGAATGTGTATGCTTAATCAGAATAGTAATATCTCAGCGTGATGTCTTGCTTTTTTTAAATTTTGTATTAGAATTTCAAGTCTTGTTCTTTGTTTATTATTTTATTTTTTATTGAATTATTTAATTTTGTTTTTCAGTTATTCGAATAATGTAAAGGCTGACATACATGCTAAAAATATAAATGTATCGACATTTTGAGCTTCACATGATTAGCCATATTTGATTATGCAATATTATTAAATCAACATGTGTTAATGCATTTATATTGTGTTCTGTTTTGAATCACTTTGGGGTGTGGGCTGTTATCATGGCATAGTATAAAGCTGTAATAATTTAGTTCAGGTGATGTTATGGTTTTATTTACCCATGCATTTGGAGACAATGCTTACGGGATGACCACAACCTCTTTGAGATAAATGCAGAAAGAATGTTGCATAAAAAGAAGAGAGTGATCTCTTTAACTTCTTAAAGACCAATAATATTTCTTCGATGTATCATCACCATCTGGTCCCTAAAGACCTTATGACTGTATACAATATCCAACTTGTTTAGTTTTTGTAACTATATACAACCCTATTGCCATTATATAAATGTGACATTACATTGCGATATAGGATTTTTAAAGGCTGATTTATTATGATGGAATTGAGGGCCGATGCAAGGATTTCTGCCTCCCTAGGCAAAAATCCATTTTGCTGCCCTTCATGAGATGAAGCTCAGTTTATTAACTGAACACCATATTTTTTCAAATCGTCTGTTTTGGCCTAACATTTGCAATTTTGGTTTTTTTTTTCTTAAAGTTTGATGTTTAATGGATAGACTCCACATTCTCTGTGTTTGATCATCCCTTTTCAACCGATCCTCATTTTTTTCCTGCATTTGCAAGCTTTAGGTCTGTTTATTCCTCTCTGTCTAATCTTTCCAGTCATTATTTTCGTTGTTAGTGTTTTTGCCCTTGTCACAGTGTTTCGTGTGTGTTTGTGTATGTTTTCCAACTGTGAGTTGAAAAATAAGGCCAAAATAGAAAACGTGGAAAAATGTACATCTCATCTGAGATGATGTTTTTCACTTTGCTGTTTTGACCCAAGTTTTAAAAGACTTATCAAGTCACTGTTTAGTAAATATACTCCAAGAGTCTGCCTGCTTGTTCTTCTTTAAGTGAGACAGGCAAATAGTGAGAAAAAGACTATGGTAACAAGGAAATTAGATAATGGGCTGAGACCTTTTGAAAGGAGACTGATCTTGATAAATACACTGTTTAATGCATACATCCATGCACACATACATCCTAATACACACATACATATACGCACACACACTTGCACTGTGTAATACATACATTCATATACACAAACATGTCAAATAAATGAACACACACATACACATTACCTCATACAAATACATACACAGAAACTGCCTCATATACTACCTAATACACACACACACAAACTGCCTAAACGATAAATATGCAAACACACAAACTGCTCAATACATATACATACACACACACACACAAAGTTCTATATACACACACACACACACAGCGAGCAGCCCTCCCTCATTATTATTATTATGATATTTATAGAGTGCCGTCAAATTCCGCAGCGCTTTACAATGGGTGGACGAACAGACGTGTATTTGTAACCAGACAAGTTGGACACACAGGAACAGAGGGGTTGAGGGCCCTGCTCAATGAGCTTACATGCTAGAGGGAGTGGGGTAAAATGGCACAAAAAGGTAAGGATAGTGTTACACTAGTGACAGTTGCAGAAGAGGAATCAGTCAGGAGCTATTAACAGTTTAATTGATACGCTTTTATGAAGAAGTGGGTTTTTAACAATTTTTTGAAGGAGTGGAGACTGGGTGAGCATCTAACGGAGGAGGGAAGCGAGTTCCACAGGAACGGTGCAGCCCTCGAGAATTCTTGAAGGCGAGCATCAGAGGTGGGAGTACGGACAGAAGATAGACGTAAGTCTTCAGCAGATCGTAAGGGCCTAGACAGGACATACTTGTGTATAAGGGAGGATAAATAGGTGGGAGCAGCATTATGTAGAGATTTGAAAGCAAGAACCAGAATTTTAAATTGAGCTCTATATTTTATAGGAAGCCAATGTAGGGACTGACAGAAGGGTGAGGCATGGGAGGTGCGGGCGAACAGGAAGATGAGCCTCGCCGCAGCATTCATTATGGTCTGTAACGGCGCAAGTTGGGAGCACGTAAGACCACTGAGAAGCGGATTACAGTTGTCAAGGCGAGAAAGGACAGTGGAATGGACCAACACCTTAGTCGCATCTGGCGTTAAGTAGGGGCGGATGCGCGCAATGTTTTTTAGATGGAAATTTAGTTAAATTTAGTTTAAGGAAGTGGGCAGCCATCTAGTTAGAAACAGCAGAGAGGCAGTCAGAGACACTAATCAAGAGGGACGGGGAGAGATCAGTAGAGGAGAGGTAGATTTGTGTATCATTTGCATAGAAATGATATTGGAAGCCAAAGGAGCTAATGAGTTTACCAAGGGAGGCAGTATAGATGGAGAACAGTAGGGGACCAAGGACTGAACCTTGGGGGACACCAACAGAGAGGAGTTGGGGAGAAGAAGCAGAGCCAGAGAAAGAAACACTGAAAGAGCGCTGGGAGAGGTAGGAGAAGCACCAGGAGAGAGCAATATCTTGTAGACCGATATTGCGGAGGATGAGAAGAAGCTGTTGATGATCAACAGTGTCAAAAGCCGCAGACAGGTCAAGGAGAATTAGGATAGAGTAGTGACCACGAGATTTTGCAGCGAGTAGATCATTGGATACTTTGGTCAGTGCCGTTTCCACAGAGTGCTTAGCACGGAAACCATACTGAAGCGGGTCTAGCAGAGAGTTGGACTCGAGGAAGTCTGTCAATCTCGCATACACAATTTTTTCAAGGATCTTGGATGCAAGAGGCAGTAGCGAGATAGGATGATAGTTGGGTGGGGAGTTAGGGTCAAGATTGGGCTTCTTTAGAATTGGGGTTACATCTCTTACATTCTCAGGTGGAGGCTGGGTGCACTGGAAGAAGCAGTTTTAGTCAGTGTGGTACCTCCTGTGTCCATACTGTCTCATGAGCTCCTGCTTCCAGTTTGTGTCTGTGTTCGCTCCCAATTCTATCACGCACAGGGTAGGGGTCAGCAACGTGTGGTGCTGCCCCCCTTGTACACCTTTCCTCTTCTATAAGGTTTGTTGTCCAGGCATCTCCTTGAGCGTGCCTGGATGCAAGGCAGGTAGTAGATCAGCAGTGTAAAATCTACAACTGCTTGCGCCCTTCACCCCAACTTTTAATCATGGCTGAGTGAGTCGACTGGTATATTCTCAGATGGGCAGTACAGCTGCTTTGGGTGACCCCACCACATAAGTGACCTAATGGGGACACTGGCCCTAATGGAATTATTGTCATTGCCCCATATGGAGCTAATCTCCTTGCCAACAGCAATTGGAGCCTCATACACAGAGCCATACTTTAAACATATTGCCATGTTTTGTTTTACTTATATAATATATTTAGAATAAAGATGTCTAAATGCTGTGGGTGTTTTCAAGTCTACAGTGCTCCCTAACGTGTCAGTTTTCACATGTAGCTGCCAATAAAGAGACTTAGTTAATTTACAATTCTATGTGCTGGCATTTCGTGATCTGGTATTGACTCCAGGTAATATATTTTTTTATTGTGCTTAATATATACTAATGCTTAATTTTCAATTATTGTAAATATATATATATATATATATATATATATTTTTTTTTTGTCAGGCAAAAGTTTATGTGTCTGAAATAGTTATAAAGGTGTTAGGTTTTATGTAGATTCCCACTAGGTAACTATGGGTTACATTATTTGGGTTATTCTAAAGTCAGAATTGTTGGGATTAAAAGTGAACACAAAATGAATTTAACATTTAAACCCAAAATAACCAAACTAGAAGCTCAAGTGACCTGGAGATTTTTTTTTTTTTCGGCCTTAAATTTGAAATTAACTGAATTCATGACAATTCACACTTTAGTGAATAACTCTACTAATGTGTATTCTGCTAAGAACTTCCTAAAAGCTAATTGGCTAAATAAAGAATATGAGAACGGGCAAAAGCTCCGAGAAATTCAATAGCTTGACATTCGGCTAATCCTCACTCAGGTCTCAAACATGTTTTTGCTCAGTTGTGTCTTTACAGAGAGAACCTATAACATTTGCACATCAGACTACTCCTGCTCATCAGTGTTAATTTTGGCAGCAAATTTCAATTTAGTTTTAGTTATAGTCTTTTGACTAAAAAGTCATTTTAGTCTTAGTCACAGTCTTTCGAGTAACAAGCTATTTTAGTTTTAATCATATTTTAGCCATCTGAATTGTTTGGTTTAAGTCTAGTTTTAGTCGACCAAATCTCCAGTAGATTTTAGTCCACACAAATAAAATCTAATGGGTTTAGTTGAAGTGTCCATATGTCTCTCTTGCCCCTCTGTGTCTCTTTGTGTCCTCTCAGCCCCTCTATGTGTCTCTCTCTCAAACCCTGCTCTGTCTCTTTTGCCCCTTCCACAGCCAATCGATGTAGTGTTAATTTTGGCGGCAAATTTAAATTTTTATTCATAGTCTGTTGACTAAAAAAACATTTTAGTTTTAGTCGTATTTTATTCATTTGAATTGTTTTAGTTTTAGTCTAGTTTTAGTCGACTAAATCTCAAATATTTTAGTTGACTAAAATTTGACTAAAATTGTTAGTCGACAAAATTAACACTGCTGCCCATAAAGGCAGTCCAGATCCCAAATAACTACAAATTCTCTCTGCGAGAGAGGTAAAACAACCCGGGCAATTGTTTCGGCCTTGGACTCCTCGTCAGCAAGGACTAGCTGGTACCTCTCTAGGCACAGTGAGCACGGAGTACACATCTGGATTACCCTTTTAACTTAGGCAGACCCTAAGAAAATGCAGTGAAGTACAAAAAAAGCCCAGAGAATATGAGAACTCTGGGGCCGGGCAACAGCTCGAAATAACTTGATGGCTTGCCCTTCGGTTAATCCCCGCTCAGGTAAAATGGGATAAACATTCTGTGGTACTAAAAGAAATAACTTGCAAAATTTAGACTGCAATTGCAGTGTTACAACAACAAGTTTGTAACTAAATTGAAAATATTCTCAAATTAG